GGCGATGGCCGGGCTGGCAGGGCCTGGCTGTGCCCATGGTGCCGGGCGTGGTTCCCACGGCGATGGCCGGGCTGGCTGTGCCCCTGGTGCCGGGCGTGGTTCCCACGGCGATTGCCGGGCTGGCTAGCAGGGCCTGGCTCTCCCTGCGGTGCTGCTCTGTCCCCTCTATTTTTGTCCCTCGCCCCCATTCTTTTCTCGGGGGTTTGCCACCTCGAACTGCGTAGGATCCTGGATGCTGCACTAACAGCAGCGGGGCCTCTGGGACCCCAGGCAGCATGTGCTGCCCTCCCAGCTCTGCTCCTTTCCAGCGGGGCCGGCGGCTCTCCTGGCTGCTCAGCCCCTGGCTCTCGCTCTTGCAGGCTCGGGAAGGGCACCGCGGCTGCCTGCACAGACAGCAGCGAGGAGGAGGAGGCCGGCGAGGCTGCGGACGAGGCAGAGGACGGGAGCGAGGTGGAGAGGGAAGAGCCCGAGGGCTCGGACGAGAGCGCCGCGGGCTCAGTGGAGGACGATGAAGGTTTGTTCAGTTACCACGTCGGGGCGCTTTGCTTGGAACCAGCCCGGCTGCTGGTGAGGACAAAGGAGCTGGGATCTCCTGGGGGCTGCCCCCCCGCTGGGAGTGGGCTGCACGCCAGTCCGGGCCCTGCGTGCATGTCCCATGGCTGGACCCCATGCGCCAGGAATCACCCCAGTTGGCAAGGAGCCCTGACCCTCTGTGCAGTGAGTTGCAGCAGTGGCGGGAACACGCACATGGGAGCAATGGGACGTGGGGTCCCAGCCAGCTCGGCCCGGGGGGCGGTCACGTGGGTCACGGAGCAGCTGCTGCTTGGCCAGCGTTGAACTGGGCACCTGGAGGGTGACCCTGGGCAGGCAGGGCTCTGGACTGGGCCTCCATGAGCTGTCCTGGGGATACCCGGGGCTGGGAGGTGCCTCAATTCCCCCTGGCCTTAGTATGCGGGAGCCTCCTGTGTGCCGGCCTCGGGTCAGCTCCCCGCTAGGCCTCGCTGTCCCTCTGCGGCTTAGCGATAGGCAGCCCCAGCCCCTGGTCTGGCCACTCGTAGCGTTCCCAGATCCGCTGCTCCCCAGGGACCAGGACAGCCCAGCCTGCCCGCGTCGCCGCAGGTCAGCGTTTGGCGTCCCACGCGGCGCTTCGCTAGGATGATAGCGACAGCAGCCCAGAGGAGAGGGGCAAGCAGCAGCAGGCGGGAATATTGGGAACCAGCGGTCACGTGTCCGATCAAACCCTCCCGCCCATTCTAGAGCCCAGACACTTGGGTGTCACACGGAGCACAACTCCTCCCGAAGTCCGTCCAGCGCGTTTCCCGACACAGGCCTCGCGTGCCGCCCTTTGGGGACTTACTGTGCCTGTATCCGACCATGGAGTCCCTGTAAAACTCTGTGTGTCCCCACCCCGCTCCCTACTGCGTCACATTGGGGCATCCAGGGGGTCCCTGGGTCACAGACTGGAGCTCTGGGTTCTGTTCCTGGTTCTGTTGCTGGCTCCCTGGGTGACCCAGGGGGTAGCGCACGGGGCACTTTGCCCTTGCCTTGGTTAATATCTCCTTCCCCTTTAACACCCCCCCCCCCCGACAGCTGTGCCCAGGGCACCCGCCTAGCCCAGAGGGGTGAAAGGGCTGTGCCAGCCATGCCCAGTGGTTCCTCCCCCAGCCTGCTGCGTTAGTGAGAGGGAAGGTTTGTTCGGGACCCTCCCGCACTGTCACACCCCCGCGACTGGCGGGGGAGCGGAGAGCCCAGTCTGGGGCCCAGTTGCCGAGCTCACCGGGGTGATCGTGTGCCCGGGGCGGTGACTGCGTGGCTGGTGGGTTTGCCATGGGGAGAGGCAGCTGCCCCGGGTGCCCCCCGCCCTGCCCCCAGGACTCTGTCTGGCTTTGTTCTAGACGCCGACGTGGCCAGGAAGAGGAAGAAGGGCCCGAAGCGACCGTCCGATGTCGCCGAGGGCAGGACTGTCTTTATCAGGTGGGTTCGTGACCCGGCAGGAGACCGCCTGGTGCGACACGAGCGCCTCTGACGGTCGGAGCTCTGGGCGGGGGGCGCACAGGCCTCTGAGAGGCAGGGAAAGCTGCGTGCTGCTGGGAAGTGTGGGGAGATGGGGGGCACTGCCTAGCCTTGGGGGCGTGCTCTTTCCTGGGGAATTGCGGGGTGCTTGGCCAGAGCTTGTGGGGGGGTGACCCTGCCACAGTTCCCCCTGCTCCTGGGCTGGCACCATGAGTCCCACCACCCTCCCCGGAACACTCTGCTTTCCCCCGGGCTGGCTGACGGGACTCGCCCTGCAGTCTTCCTGCTCCTTAGTGCGTAGACAGCACCCCCACTCTGCTCCCTGCCTGCGGGAGACTTCCCAGCCCGCCGGGCAGTGGGCAGGACGCAGCCGGGGTTTCCTCGCTCCCATGGCAGGAGCGTGGAGTGAGCCGTGCTCCGCCCATCGGACTTGGGCTCTGCCGGGGCTGGGTGCACTAACCCTGCCACCCTCCCTGCGCTCCCTCTGTGCCCCAGGACCCTCCCCTCCCCCTGCCACGGGACCCTCCTCTTGGCCCACTGCGCCTCTCTGAGCTGGGGGACCCCTCCAACACATCCCCTGTGCCGCGGGACCCTCCCCTCTGCCCGCTGTACCCCCCCGTGCCACGGGACCCTTCCTTCCCCCCACCCTGTGCCCTGCTGTTGGGAGCAGTCACTGGCTGCCACCATCTCCTCTGAGGCTGCTGGGGGCCACGTGGGTGGCCGGGTCAGTGGCGGGCAGTGGGCCCTGCTGGGGGAGCCGCAGGCAGCGGCAGGGCCTCACGGTGTGGTGCACCCGGCAGGAACCTGGCCTTCGACACGGAGGAGGAGGAGCTGGGCGAGAGGCTGGAGCGGTTTGGGGACCTCAAGTACGTCCGCATCGTCCTGCACCCGGACACGGAGCACTCCAGAGGTAACACCTGCCTCGGGCCAGGGAGACCCCGCCAGGGCCCGGCCCTTGGCCCCTGAATCCCGCCGCAATGCTGAGTAGCCTGGAGTCAGCCTTAGGAAACAGCCACACACACACCACCACCACCACCACCACCGTTGCTGCCAGTGTCCCTGCCCGGGCTGCTGCTCGGCGTCATCCAGGCCTCGGGCCTCTACTGCAGTCACGTCCCTGGCAGGGAGCCGGCGGGAGGGACTGGGGCGGGGTGTATTAGGAGGCAGGGGCTGTGCAGTGCCAGGGAGTGGGGCAGAGGAGGCCTGGGTGCTGGGGGCAGGGGAGGTCCGAGTACTGGGGAGCAGGGGGGTGCGCAGTGCTGGGGGGTGTGCAGTGCCAGGGAGGATGGGGAGGGGACGTCTGAGTGCCGGGGAGAGGGGGGGTGCGCAGTGCCAGGGGGTGGGGCAGGAGGGCGCGCAGTGCCGGGGAGCAGGGAGGTGCCCAGTGCCGGGGCTTGGGGCAGGTGAGGTCCGAGTGCCGGGGGGCAGGTGAGGTCCGAGTGCCGGGGAGCAGGGCGGTGCACAGTGCCAGGGGGTGGGGCAGGGAGTGTGCAGTGCTGGGGGGCATGGCAGGGCCGTGCGCAGTGCTGGGGGGTGGGGCTGGGGGGTGCACAGTGTTGGGAGGGGGAGTGGGGCGCGCAGTGCTGGGGGGCGGGGCTGGGGGGCGCGCAGTGCTGGGGAGCAGGGGGGGCGCAGTGTTGGGAGGGGGAGCGGGGCTTGCAGTGCAGGGGGGCAGGGCGGGGGGGTGTGCAGTGCTGGAGGGAGGGGCGGGGGGCGTGCAGTGCCGGGGGGCACGCAGTGCCTGGGGTGGGACCCGTAGCTCGCTCCGTGGAGGCCCTGGTGGGACAGGCCGTGCCTGGCACTGTGTCCCGGCACTGGTTCGCGCCCAGCCGGGATCTCACCCCCGCGTCTCTTTCCAGGCTGCGCCTTCGCCCAGTTCACCACCCAGGAAGCCGCCCAGAAGTGCCTTGAGGCTGCCCAGGACGACAGCGAGGTGAGTGGGGCGCAGGGGAGTCGAGACCATTGGCTCTCCGGTGGGCCCACGTCTGACATGGCTGGGGTGGGGGGAGAGCCCTGCCCCCCCGGTATCATCCGTAGGGGCGCACGTGGCTCTGAACGCCCCTCGGTGCATCCTCCGTGGGGGTGGCAGGAGGACAGACTTCTCCCCTCCTCCCTGGCTGCTCCCCGCTGCCGCGTCCCCAGCGTCTCATTCGCTGTCTGGCTCCCTCGCAGGGCGGGGGGCTGCGGCTGGGCGGCCGCCGGCTGCACCTGGACCTGGCCGTGAGCCGCGACGAGGCCCAGAAGCTGCAAGCCCAGAAGGTGAAGAAGCCGACGGGCACCCGCAACCTGTACCTGGCTCGGGAAGGCTGTGAGTTACCTGGCTCTGGGGCGACGTGCACTGCTGCCCGCTGGAGATAGCCAGACAGGTCCCTTCTCCCCGCAGCTCCCCCTCTGCTGCCCGCCTCCTTGGGAATCCCTCTGTGTGCCTCCTAGTGCCAGGGCCCCGGGACCCCTCCCCATTCCTACCCCTCTGCTGAGTCTCCCTGACCCCTGTTGTGAACACACCCAGGACCTGGCAGGGGACGCCTGCCCCTGTACTCCACCCCCCAGCGCCCTGGCTAGCTGGGGCCGGTTCGTGCAGTACTGGAGCGACTCCCGGCCGGGAGAGCCGGGCTCAGGGCAGACTGTGAGAACCCAGTCCCGGCGCCCCAGCCTGTCAGCGTGTTCTGTGATTAGATTTCGCCCCCCAGGAACAAGCACAAAGCAGTCCGAGCACGGGGTCCCAGACAGTCCCCCATGGCCCTGCCGGTCTGGCCCCCCAGGGGAGCGGGGCTAGGCGATAGCTGGTTGTCACGGAGTGTGGGGGAGTCAGGGCCCTGCACCCCCCACTTCCTGCGATTCACCGTGAGTCTCAGCCAGCCAGTAAAACAGAAGGTTTATTAGACGACAGGAACCCAGTCCAAGACAGGTCTTGTAGGTACAACCAGGACTCCTCAGCCAGGTCCCTCTGGGGGCAAGGAGCTTAGACCCCAGACTTGGGGTTCCCTGCCTCTTCCCAGCCAGCCCAAAACTGAGAAAACCCCTCCAGCCGACTCACTCCCCTCCCCCCAGCTCCTCCTCTTTGTCCAGTTTCCTGGGCCAGGTGTCACCTGGCCCCACCCCCCTCCTGGCTCGGGTTACAGGCTCAGGTATCGTCCCTCAAATAAAGTCATCCCCTGCTCTCCCATCCCCCATGCAGACAGTCCAGTAAAACTAACCGACATTCCCTGGTCAGTCCGCCCCGCTCCCTAGCAATATTCAGCTTCCTCCCGGACCCAAAGGGCCAGTCACTTCCCCGGGCCGGTTGTAGGCGGGTCCCACGCCTGTAGCCGGGCCTGTAACACGCTGACTGGCGGTTAGTAGCTAGGGAAAGGGACTGCCAGGGTTGAAAACAGGGAACATACACGCAGTGAGTTCCCCTCTCCGATTTCCAAAAGCGCTAAGCAGCTCCCTGTGTCCTCGAGGGCTGACCCACGCCAAGCAGAGTGGGCATCTCTTAGCCCCTCAGAGGCCAGAGAGCAGAAAAGATCCAGTTTCTCCTTGTTGCCACCCAGTTCCTAGCTGGCGGGAGTCTGCGTCCCAGCCTCCGCTGCCTCTCTCCGGTGGGCCCCATCAGCACACGTAACTCCTCGCTGTGGGGCCCGGGCGGCTCTAATGCCTCTCCCTCTCCTCGCAGTGATCCGGGCCGGCACCCAGGCCGCCGAGGGCGTGAGCACGACTGACATGGCCAAGAGAGTGCGGGTGAGTGGGCGGGGGCGTCCTTGCCAGTGGGCTCCGGGACCTACGCTGGGCAGGCTGCCTGCTCCCAGGGGAGATACAGCAGGCACAGGCTTTGCTTGGCAAGAGCCACCTGGCGGCAGTAGGGCACAGGGCCCCCACGGGGTGCACGGGGCTGGCGGCAGGAGGGCACGGGCCCCCACGGGGTGCACGGGGCTGGCGGCAGGAGGGCACGGGGCCCATGCATGGGGCTGGCGTGCTGGGCTGGCGGCGGGAGGGCACGGGGCCCCCACGGGGTGCACGGGGCTGGCGGCGGGAGGGCACGGGGCCCCCACGGGGTGCACGGGGCTGGCGGCGGGAGGGCACGGGGCCCCCACGGGGTGAACGGGGCTGGCGGCGGGAGGGCACGGGGCCCCCACGGGGTGAACAGGGCTGGCGCGGGGCCAGCGGGGTCTGTGGGGGCGGCAGACCTGGCTGGGCCAGGGCACATTGCGGCTCTGGCACGGCCCGTGCCGTCCCCTCCTGTCTCTGGAGCTGTCCCGGGTGGCACTTGGTTGTGGCTAGAGGGAGCCCAGGTCTCCCTTGCCCGGCCCATTGTGGCCGCTCTGGTCCCTCTGTTCCCTGGCTGCCGCGTCTGGCAGGGGAGGACAGGGCTCTGCGGCGGGGGACGCTGTGCTGGGCCCAGCCCGTAACCCCTTCCCGGCGCCTGCCCCCTCCCAGTTTGAGGAGCTGAAACGGCAGAAGCTGAAGGACCAGAACATCTTCGTGTCCCGCACGCGGCTCTGCGTCCACAACCTGCCCAAGGCCCTGGACGACAAGCAGCTCCGGCAGCTCCTGCTGCGCGCCGCCGGCGGGGGACCGGGCCTGCGCATCAAGGAGGTGAGTCCCCGCTGGGGGGCGCCGGGTGGACTGGCTCCTGAGCTGGGGAATTGGGATCTGGTTTGGGAGGCTATGGGGGGGTGTATTGAGGGGCTGAGCTGGCTCCCTTATCGCCCAGCCCCTGCCAGGTGGGTCCCTGGTGACACCAGGTGTTCGCTGGGGGAACTGCAGTTAGCTGCTAGCTCAGCCATCGGCCGTCCGCACTAGGCGGGGCCTGGTGGGGTTACGCCGAGGGACCGATTGGTTCGGGGGCCGCGCGTGCCGGTCTGAGCCGCCTGGCATGTGCGTCGTGGTGCCCGCGCACAGAGCCCTGTGTGCATCCACTGGCAACGTTGATACTGGCGGGCGCCCCAGAGCAGTGGGGTGCAGAGGGGATGACCAGGCCAGGTGCGCACCGCTGCAGCCTGGGGGGGTGCGGAGCTGTCGCCGTGGCCCGTCGAGAGCGGGTCGGTGGCCGTGGAGGCGGCGACAAGGGAAATGGGCACGTGGCAGTTGGAGCCCGAAGACAGGAAGTGACACCGGGGCACGTCTCCCATGTGGACGAGCTTCGCAGGAGCCCCCGGGGGCCTCGCGGCAGGGCTGCGGCTGGGCTGAGCGTTCCGCGCAGTGACATGCTCCGAACTCCGGCCTCCTGCTCAGCCAACGGGCTCCTGGGGTCCTGGGGGGCCTGCTGGAGTGGGGCTGCTCTAGGGGTCCCAGTGCGAGGGGTTCCCCATACCCAGTCAGCTCCCCATGGGTGGCCAGGTCAGCCCAGAGCTCGAAACGGGAGCTGGCAGGCCCGTTAGCGGGGGCCTGTGGGATGGGCCGCGTGCCGCGGGGGCTCCCAGCAGGTCCTGGATGCGGATCTCCTGTCTCTGCAGTGCCGGGTGATGCGGAACCTGACGGCGCCGGCAGGGAAGGGCCGGGGCCAGTCTCTGGGCTACGCCTTCGTGGAGTTCGAGAAGCACGAGCACGCGCTGGCCGCCCTACGCCACACCAACAACAACCCGCAGCTCTTCGGGCCGCACAAGGTGGGTGCTGTGTGAGCCAGCTGCGGGGTCCTGGACTGCTCCTGGGGGCTGGAGTCCCTGCACCCGGAGAGCTGAGCGCTGGCTGTGGAGGTTGGGGGCCAGGCTCCGGGGGTGTTGCTGCTCAGAGAGCTGAGTGGGGCAGGGGTGGAATGCGCCAGGTGTGGGGCACTGAGGTGCTCACACTGGGTGCCGGGCGGGGGGGTCCCGGCTGGAAGGGGGACGCGCTGGGTATGGGACGGGGGTGGAATGTGCTGGCTGTGGGGCAGGGGTGGTCCTGGCTGGAGGGGGGAACGCTGACTGTGGGGCGAGGGGGGAACGTGCCAGCTGTGGGGCAGAGAGGAGCCAGCCTGCACTGGGTGTCTGGCAGTGGGCTGGGGGTCCTGGCTGGAAGGGGAATGCTGTGGGGCGATGGTGGAACGCGCCGGCTGTGGGGCGGTGAGGCGCCCGCGCTGGGTGTCCAGCTGGGGGTCAACACTGGCTGTGGGGCGAGGGTGGAACGTGCTGGCTGTGGGGCGGTGAGGCGCCCGTGCTGGGTGTCTGGCAGGGGGCTGGGGGGAACGCTGGCTGTGCGGAGGTGAGGCGCCCGCGCTGGGGGTCCAGCAGGGGGCTCTCCCCGCTCAGTACCTGTCGCTGTGCGATGACCGGGCTGGCGTTGGCTCTGTGCCCGGGGCTCTGACCCACCCACTCTGCCCCCCAGCGCCCCATCGTGGAGTTCTCGCTGGAGGACCGCAGGAAGCTGAAGCTGAAGGAGCAGCGGGCCCAGCGCAGCCTGGTAGGTGTCACAGTTCCTCCCCCCGGCTGGGATCCCACACGCACCCTCCCCGGTCGCTGGGGACTGGGGGCACGTTCCCTGTCTGTGCTGCCTGGGAAATGCAGCTGGCTGGAGGGCGCAGGGTCAGGGGAGGGCAGAGGGGGGGCTGGCATTGCGGGTGGGGGGAGGGGAGTGGCCGGGGGGAGGGGCAGGGTTGGTGTCACGGGGTTGGGGTGGGGGGAGCAGCCGCCCGGGTGGGGCACTGGCCCATCCAGCCTGGCGTGACCAGTACCTGCTGCTCCCACCCAGGCTGGCGCCGGGAGCCAGCCGTGCCGGGGGGGGGGGGACATGGCCTCAGGGCTCCTGGCAGCGGGTCCCGGCAGTGCTGAGCCCAGGATCCCCGACTGACCCGCGAGCGCCGGCAGGGGACACTGACCTTCTGTTTTGTGCAGCAAAAGCTGAGGCAGAAGCAAGCGGCAGAGGGGCAAGGACCTCCCCGGGGGCCTGGGCCTGCAGAGACGCCCCAGAAGCTGCCCCCGGGCCCCAAGGGACAGCAGAACCCCAGGAAGCGGGACCCCTCGGGGCAGGGAAACGCCCCAGGTCCCCAGGGGCAGAAGGACCCGAGGGGCCCCAGGACGCAGGGTCCTAAGGGGCAGAAAGACTCCCTGGGCCCCGAGGGGCAGGGAGACGCCGCAGGTGCCATGGGGCAGCAGAACCCCAGGAAGCGGGGCCCCGAGGGGCGGGGGGCCGGCACCCCCTGGGCTGGGTTCCAGACGAAGGCGGAGGTGGAGCAGGTGGAGCTGCCGGACGGGAAGAAGCGTAGGAAGGTTCTGACGCTGCCGACTCACCGGGGGCCCAAGATCAGGTAGGAGCCAGGGCCGGGGGGGGAGTGCGCGCGTGAGCAGGGTGTGTCTGTCTCTGTCTCTCCCTGGGCTGGGAACAGCAGGCCTGTGGGGGGTGGGGAGGCCCCAGCGGGAAAGCGCCAGGCACAGGGCCCATCGCTCACGCTCTTGGCTCTGACCCCAGGCAGCGCGACAGGGGCAAGCCGGCCGCGCCGAAGAAGCCGAAGGCCCAGGCCAGCCAGCGGCGGCAGGAGAAGCAGCGGGTGGCGCCCAGACAGGTGAGGGGGGTTCGGGCAGGGCAGACCTGGGGCACATGGTCCTGTCCATCTGGGGGGAGCTGGAGGAAGCGTCTGGCTGGGGTTGGATTCCCGCAAACGGCTGGGCCGGGCGCCCTGCGGGACTCGTGGGGGCAGCACCCAGAGCCCCCTCCCCACCGGCACCAGCACATCCCGTCGCAGCGAGCGCTGAGACGCATGTTGGGCCAGGTTGTGCCTTGGCCTGGCTGCGTCTCCCGCTGCACGTCACCCCCTGCCCACCGCCCCCTTGTCCCAGCGCCCACCCTCCTCTGCCTGCTGGGCCGTTCCTTGGGCGGTGCGTGCCCTGTCCATCACCGAGGGACCCCAACCTCCTTCCTCAAAACCTCGGGAACCCCCTCCCCTCACCCCACCTGCTCCCTCCAGCCCGCTCACCCCGTCCCCGACACTCCCGGGGACCCCTGCAGGATTCCTTCCTCCTCGCCCCGCTGACCCTTCTGGGCCTGTCCCTGGGACACCCCCCAATGCACCACTCCCCAAGGGTGGGGGCGCAGAAACTCTCCATGCAAGGGGCACCCATTACCCCATGAGCAGCTCCTCTGCTGGGCGCAGGAATTGACCCTCCCGCTGCGGCCACGGCTGGTGGCACCTGCAGCCCCTGGCGCTGGCTCCTCTGCCCCCAGTTCGGGAGGCCGGCGCTGAGCCAGGCCTCACCCTCTCTGTCCCTCGCAGGCGCCGGGGAAGCGGCGGAGGCCGGCGGGGGGCCGGGCGGAGGCCCGCTTCGACCAGCTGGTGGAGCAGTACAAGCGGAAGATCTTGGGCAGCGCCCCGAGCGCCCCCGGGGCGAAGAGGAGCAAGTGGTTTGAGAGCTGAGCGCCCCGGAGCCACCGGGGGGGACTGTCACGCCGCAGAGCAGCGCCAGCCTGCGCCCCGCAAGGGGCTCCGTGTGTGCCGGGCGGTGCCCACGCCCTGCACCTTCCCTCACCCAACTCTGCCACCCCACGGCTGGGCGGGGGGGCACCACCCTCTTCCATTGGTTTCTCAGATTTTTATTAATTTAAATTTTCCTTTTTTTAACCTGGAAAGAACCAGGTCTCGTCTTTGCTCATCTGGGGCACTGTGGTCCGGGGAGGGGAGCTGGCCAGTCCCGTTCCCCCTCCCCCCCGCCCCCATGGCAGTGCGGGGAGGGGAGCTGACCCAGCCGCCTCAACCCCCCACCCCCATGGCAGGGACTGGCCTGCTGCACTTTAGGTAACTGGGTGTTTTTCCCGCCGTGTGCACCGGGCGTTTCCCTGGTTCTCTAGCTGGCCCCAGGGAGGGGTCTGTCGCCGGGAGCAGTGACTGTGCGGGGGGCTCGCACTCAGCAGCAGGGTCCGGCGAACACCCCTGCCCGTGAGGAGCCAGCAGCTGCCGGCTTAACCCTCATTCCCTGGCCAGGGACTGGCAGCACGTTCTGCCCCCGCTAGGCTGCCAGGCCCCGCAGCAGGGAGAGCGAGAGCAGGCTGGGTGCGCAGGGGAGTGCCCGCAGGGGCAGGAGGGGAGAAATGGCCCCTGTGGCCTCCATCCCACTCCCTGCTCGCTCCTGGCAGCCCAGGGACCCTTTGCCTGCTGCCGCCTGCTCTGAGCCTGAGCTGGGGGCCCTGGGGCAGCTCACTGCCTTGGGGGGCCCCGTCACTGTGCCGTGGGGGCTGGCTCCCTCTGGGGAGCAGCTCTGGTCCAGCCACGGCCCCACCAGGCCTCAAGCACGGCTGGGCTCCCTGGCCGCGCAGGATCAGCCCCGGCAATACGTGGCTGGGCCCAGCCTGGGCCGTCTCTATAGGGCCCACGGGCCCCCCACCCCACGCCCAATCTCTTGTAGATTTATTTCTGCAGCCGGCTCGTTCCTGGGCGCTCAGAGCGAGAGGAGTGGGGCCGAGGGCTGGCAGAGCTGTGGGACCAGGGGTGGGAGCAGAACGGGGCCCTCCTTCACTGGCGTACCTGGGGAGCAGGGCTGTCTGTTATCATGGGGGCCCCTCCCCCCTGGCCTAACAGTGAAATCTTTGGTGAACTTAAACACAGAAAGGAAGCTGACAAGAAGTGTAAACTTGGACAAATGACCAGGGAGGAGTATAAAACTATTGCTCAGGCATGCAGGAGTGAAATCAGGAAGGCCAAATCACACTTGGAGTTGCAGCTAGCAAGAGATGTTAAGAGTAACAAGAAGGGTTTCTTCAGGTAAGTTAGCAACAAGAAGAAAGTCAAGGAAAGTGTGGGCCCCTTACTGAATGAGGGAGGCAACCTAGTGACAGAGGATGTGGAAAAAGCTAATGTACTCAATGCTTTTTTTGCCTCTGTCTTCACAAACAAGGTCAGCTCCCAGACTGCTGCACTGGGCAGCACAGTATGGGGAGGAGGTGACCAGCCCTCTGTGGAGAAAGAAGTGGTTCGGGACTATTTAGAAAAACTGGACGAGCACAAGTCCATGGGGCCGGATGCGCTGCATCCGAGGGTGCTAAAGGAGTTGGCGGATGTGATTGCAGAGCCATTGGCCATTATCTTTGAAAACTCATGGCGATGGGGGAGGTCCCGGACGACTGGAAAAAGGCTAATGTAGTGCCCATCTTTAAAAAAGGGAAGGAGGAGGATCCGGGGAACTACAGACCAGTCAGCCTTACCTCTGTCCCCGGAAAAATCATGGTGCAGGTCCTCAAGGAATCCATTTTGAAGCACTTAGAGGAGAGGAAAGTGATCAGGAATGGTCAGCATGGATTCACCAAGGGCAAGTCATGCCTGACTAACCTAATTGCCTTCTATGAGGCGATAACTGGCTCTGTGGATGAGGGGAAAGCAGTGGATGTGTTATTCCTTGACTTTAGCAGAGCTTTTGATACGGTCTCCCACAGTATTCTTGCTGGCAAGTTATCCTATCCTATCTCCTAGAACTGGAAGGGACCTTGCAAGGTCATCGAGTCCAGCCCCCTGCCTTCACTAGCAGGACCAAGTACTGATTTTGCCCCAGATCCCTAAGTGGCCCCCTCAAGGATTGAACTCACAACCTTGGGTTTAGCAGGCCAATGCTCAAACCACTGCCCCGCTGCCTGGACTCAGGGCCTCTGAGCAGGATCCGGCCCAGACAGCCAGGAACCCCAGGCCCAAGAACTGGCAACCGGGCAGGGAGAGAGCTGGGTGCTGTCCTGGACTGCCTGGCTGAGGCCTGGGAACTCCTTACAGTGGGGTGAGTACAAGGGGATGGGATGGGAGGAAACTCTTCCCACGAGAACCAGGGGCTGTTCGGTGAATGAGATTGTTCTGCCAGAGGCCAGCCAGAGTGCTCAGAATGGTCCTTTCTGGCCTTAGCATCTAGGAATGGCTGAAATGAGATCAAAGGGGCTAACGTGGCCTGTGGAACTCTCGGCCACCGGATACCCTGCAGCGAAGCACTCAGCAGGGTTCAAACAAGGATGGATAATCAGAGCCTCACCAGCTACGAGACAAGAAAAACGCCCTGCTTTGCAGCACACACTGCCCCTCACTGGGTGGGGAGGGGAGCGTCCCCAGACGTGTCCATTGTGGCGCTTCTGGCCCTGACAGAGAGAATGGGGCTGGCTAGGTCCCTGGACTGGCACCTCCTGTGCCTATAACCGGTGTGGGCCCAGCAGCATGTTAATGGCTGTGAAGGGTTAACACGGCGCCCGTCTAGGGCTACAAGTAGAGATACCTGGGCGTTTGCGTCCAGCTCCCCAGGCCTGGTGCCCTGCGGGGACCCACCCCCCCCTTGCATGCAGCAGATGCTGCTGCTGGGGCCAGCCCAGAACCAAGGGGGGGTTGCTGATGACAGAGCAGGGCAGCCCCGCAGGGGCCCAGACTCTGCCAGCAAGGGATGGCTGCTGTGACCCCCCAGCAGGAGTGAGGGGGTGAAATCCCAACAGCAGCTCCCCTCTGGGCTCTGTCCAGCAGGCTGCCAGCTGTCCTGCCAATCACCTATGGGGAAACTGAGGCACAGAGCATGCGGGGTCGTGACCTAAGGTCACCCAGCAAGTTACTGGAACCCAGGAATCCTCACTCCGAGCAGGAGCTAGAGCTGCTGAGTCCTGCACTCATCAAACAGACGCCGGGCTCCAGCCGCCTGCCCCTCGCACGGGGAGCTCGCACCAGGGAGAGCCGTGCATGCACTGAGCCCTGAGCACGCACACCCCTCGGCACTGCTGTGGCGTTTCCCTCACCCCAGCGGGGACACCGTGCTCTCTGTGGCGCTGCCTCCCACAGGCTGGGGCCGGGGTTGGGGTGTCTGGAGAGGCAGCGTGACCCGGGGGTGAGGGCCCTGCCTGGGGGGCAGGAGAGCTGGGTGCCCAGCCCTTCTCTCTCCACAGGGTTCCCTGAGCTCTCCAGGGGCTGCCAGCTCCCAGGGAGAGGTGGTGAAAACAGCACCATGGCGGGGTGGGGGGTTTCTGTGCATGACCCCCTCCTGTGACAACAGGCGCCCTGGGGCTGGGAGGTGTCACCAGGCTATACGTGGGTCTGAACGGGCCAGGCCCGTGTGCTGTGCATTCCCTGGGGCCTGGGCAGGCTGTGGCGGTGTCCTCCCTGGGCCCCGGCTCTGTCTGTTACCCCAGCACAGAAATGGGGCCCCCAGGCCCAGTGTCCCCGAGGGCTCTCTGGGTTCACAGCCACCAGAGCACGCAGCCCGTTCCTTTAGACAGGTCTAGGCAAAGCAGGAACACCGGGATGCCTTGCTCTGCCTCGGTTTCCTCATCATGGGAGCCTCCTTTGAGCCAAGGTCTCTTTGGGGTTCAGGGTCCCCTTCCTGTGCCAGGCTTCTCTGAAACACGGAGCCTGTCCTCGCTGACTGCCCGCTTCCTTGGCTGGGCTGTGGTGGAAGACAGTTTGTGGAGAAGAGCCGCGTATCTGTTGGGAGTGGTGCCCGGTAGAGACGCTGTCTCACTTTCCAAGCGTCGGAGGAAAGGTCTCCAATTGCTTGTCTGGTGATAGCCGCATGCCTGCTGAGGAAAAGGTTTTCTCCAGCTCTTTGTCTGGAGCAGACAGAAAGCGCTTCTCAGTTGATGCGACTTGCGACTGTATCAGTTGTACCAGAGGTGGTTCTGGATGTGAGTGAGACGCAGACAGAGTCTGTTGTTGCTCAGGAAAATGCTCTCGTCAGCCGCAGCCGTGCTGAGAGCCCGGGTCCTTCAGTTGCTGCTCCACGGCTGGCGCCAGCCTCCAGCTCAGACAGCCCCATGCTTGTTTGCTGGGCTGCCCCCAGGCACGTCCGAGATCCATGTCCCACGTGCACCCCCCTCTTTCCAAGGCAGGAGATGCCTAGTACCCCGGGGGCACGGGTCGCTCAGCCGTGTTAGTCTGGATCTCGCCCTGTCGCAGTTCAGGAAGCTGCTTGCTCTCGGCAGCCAGGACC